TGAATGTCTGAATACAAAATTGCTCACGTATTGCTCTCTATGCGTTAGATTCATAAGGAAAGGTGAAGAACTTACATTTGACTACAACATGACGGTACACTAACTACTTTCTATGATTTTGATACATATAGTATGTATTTGATTTTTTATATATTTTTTGCGCGATTAACGTAACCCTGCTAATAATAGTAAGCTTTCTGGATTGGGATTGGCAGAAGCATTTCAATGAAGTTTCTTGTTTTTTTTATTCATTGAATACTGGTAGGGATCTATCACTGAGTAAATTTATGTTATTCTAGCAATTTCAGGTGGTAAAATTCAATATCAAATACATCTGCTTGGAACTACTTGTTTCGATTACATGAAGACTTTGACATTGAGATTCTTGTGCAAGGATTTTATCCAACAATGTTTGTACGCCTGTGATTATGTTCTGAGCCTCTTTTTTGTGCTGATTCTTTCCATGTGTGGTCGTTTTTCTGGGTGGAGGCATGGGGTACGACGAACAGCGTGGATGCAGCTACACGACTTGGAATTCGCAGATGATCTAGCTATGCAGGAGTAAGTGGCCAGTGTAGCGAAAGCCTGTGCAGCAGTAGGTTTCAGCATACATAATAGAAAAAGCTGCATCATTGATGAGCAAGTTGGATCGAACGCCTATATAAAGACGCGTCTGCGCAAAGCAAGGGCAGCATTTCTACAATCGAAGAACATTTGGAACTCAAAACATCTATGAATCAACACATAGTCGAATTTTCAATACAAATGTCAAGACAGTTCTGTATGTGACAGAAACTTGGAAAACTACAAAAGACATCATCCAGAAGATGCGAGTGTTTATTAATAGTTGTCTATGCAAAATACTTTGGATCCGCTGACCAGGCAGCTTGGGCAACAATGTGCCGAATTCCAGCTGATGAAGAAGCTAGGGAAAAGCTCTGGAAGTGGATAGAACACATTGAGGTATGCATCCAGCTGCGTCACAAGATAAGTTCTCACTTGGAACCCTCAAGGTCATAGGACAAGAATGCCGAGGAAAACATTACGCCGAGAAATGGAGACAGACATGAGAACAATTGGACAGAACTGGAAAGGAAGGCCCTGGACATAGTAGGTTGGGGAATGCTCTTCGGCCCATTCTCCATTAGGGTTTGGAGGCATAAGTAAGTGAGTAAGTGGTCGTTTTTCACGTTGCTTAGTTACAAGACACCGTTCCTTAGCGCAAGTAAGGTATAAAATTTTAACATAGTTTTTAATCGCTTTGGTAATGTTTACCACTATAGAACTTTCTCTCCCTAGGTGCCGTGGTTTCAGATGCTAGTGGAGTTGCTGATAATGCTGGAGAAGCAGAAACGCCTTCAGAAGCTCAGTCAGCGCCATCTAATAATGGTGGGAAGAGTCCGACCCCATCTTCTTCCTCGGTTGATGTAACTCCTGACACGAGCAGTGAGGTTAGTGGGTGTTTTCACTTTGTCACTAGATTAATTGTATAGTATATACTCCTGTCTGTGTCTTTCGACCATTTCGTGGAAAATATGACAGTACCATTGTAGTTTTTTCATTCCATCATCGCATATTTGGTAATCACTTGATTGTATCGTCAAACTCATATTTCAATAGTTTTTAAGTGAATTTGAAACCCATACTTTCAACCAATCACAGTCGCCTTCCAACTTTGTAATTTGATTGGCTAATTAGTTTACCACTCACCCTTTTGTGTATGATTGATAGAAGCTGCCTATGAATGAGTCATGTGGATGTGAAATTTAAAAGGGCTAATTTACGGACTGATCATAAAGTTCATGAATGAATCATCAAAAAGTTGACCAATTAGATGCATATGAATCACACGTACACATCACTCAAGTTTATTGTTTTTTATGTGATAGAAATCTTATCATAACTTCTGCCCACAAATAAATAGATTAGACGAAGACAAGTACATACATACAGTTCACATTTTAACGCTATGTAGAAATCTGTATACACATATACAACATATATATTAGGTTTAGATTTCACAAATTCAGCCCATTGATATTTCCCCCATTACATATTACAAGTAATGGTCCGTCACCAGGATCAGTGAACTTTTCAGTGCTACTAGGTTAAAATATTCTATGCTGATAGTGGGTCATGTCATACAAGAGTTTAGAATTCTAATTAAAGTCAGTTATATCTCAGTAAGTTGGTACTATTTAGGATTTTCCGTATAGGGTTATGGGGACTGAGTTTCACTACGATCATGGATCAGTCATTGTTAGACTGCCATTAGAAACCTGCAGTCACTGGACGGCCGTTCCGTCCCAGTATGGGACTCATCAGTAGTGTGTATCCACTGCCCTCGCGCGCGAACATTTTACCTCTGAGTCACTGGCATCCCATGTTGTTAGTCTCAAAGTTTGATCATTCTTAGGATTTTGCACAACTTCACTCATTGTCTTAGGTAGGTAACTGCCTACACCCGACAAGGTTGAACTACACTGATCACGACTTTTCAGCAGAACTCCAAGAATTCCCTTGCGAAGTTAGTCACTAGTGGAATATTCAGTGCTCTGCGACGCATTCCCTAATAGTGAATCAAGGTTTTAAATTATTAGCCAATATTAAATTGAACATGAATTTATTATATACTTCACTTTTCTTGTTAATCATATTTCTGCTGTTATACTAAAAGATGCTACAGATTTATGGGATCAGCTAATCCTTTTTGGAAATCTCACTCCCTATTTATTTCATTATTACATTTGAAACCATTGCCAGCTATTGAGTTGTAAGAGTTTGTATTTTCTCGTTTGTTGATGTTAAGAACAGTCTATTTTTGGAATATGTGGATTCTGAACAAATTACCTTCTGAATTCCTCATAATCTCTGTCTTTCTCCTTCTAAATTTATCTCACTGAATTATACTTTTCGAATCATATCTTGACTCCCTAATCTTCTCCATTGCTGCTAACAATTCTACTATCGCTATCACTCTTGGATTTGAACTGACAGTTACGTCTCAGTGTGGATGTGGTATGGCAACCTGAACTGATGTACTTATGTACGAAGTTCTGCGTTGTATCTGTCTGTCTGAACAAATTGTCTTGGTATTGCTATTCGTTCACAAGTTTTTAATGAAGTCGAATAATGCTTATCAATGGAAGGCAGTAGAACATGCTTCTCTTATCTGTTCTTATATGTACCTCCAATTCTATTATTAATACTCAAAATGAAACTCGAACTCATCACTTTTCGCTTTTCACTCCCACTACGTTCTCCACTGACGTATGAAGTCCAGATATCTACTACCTTGTGCGACATGCGATGCGATGCGAAGCATAGCAACGTAGAACTTCGTACGTGCGTACATCGGTTCAAGTTACCATACCACATTAGCACAGACAGATGTATTTGTCAGTTCAAATCCCTGTGATAGTAGAGGTAGTAAAAGTATTAGCGGCAGTAGGAGAGATTAGGGTTTGAGTGAAATAAACTTAAAAAGATAAAGGTGATGAGGAATTCCTAAGGTTAGGATGTGAGAGAACACAAATAATGTACGCACCTGCGCCATCGCAAACGGTTTTCAGCTATGTCATTCAGTGTCTCTAACCATCGGTGACTTTTGTCTCGCGGACCCCAACCAGGTAGCCTACATCTGCCAACATGACTTAGTCCACTTGTCAGTGATTTCATGGATTTCTGCCATGTTTTAGTTTGACCGCCCCTAGCTTTCGTCCAACCTAATCCTACACCGCAGAACATAGCTCGAGAAGGCAGTCGGTGGTTAGGCATTCGCAACACATGTCCCAAATCATTACTCGAATAGACCATTTAGGTTTAGGTTGCATTTCATTTCACTGTCAAATCATCAGTTCTAAATACTTTCACTTTGTTTACCGATTTCAGGTATCGTTCGACAGTAAATCTCTAGGATCTAAAGTAAGCTTAATTTTGTTTTAATGAATTTTCAAATGATTCATCATTCAATATAAAATATTTTTTTATTTATGTTAGTTTTTTTGTTTAACAGGTCGCCTATATTTTATCAATAATTGATATCTACAGAATTCTTTTATTAATTCAACAAATAAATGGAAGTGTCATTGTATTATGTATGAATTCTGTTATTCATAATATCAGGAACACGGGATCAATGCACGATCATTGAATGTATTTGATAATTCGCTTCAGTATTTCCACTAATTTATATAATTTCTAACTACTTTTAATATGACAAATGTTTTTTGAACATTTCTCTATTCATTGTATTTACACAAAACACAATTATCTTTTATTTGAATGTGTGAAGTGGGTAAAAATTATGATACAAACTGTCTGGCTGAGACAGATAGCCAGACAGACAGATACAACGCAGAACTTCGTACGTAAGTACATCAGTTCAGGTTGCCATACCACATTAGCACAGAGACGCAATTGTCAGTTCAAATCCCATAGTGATGGAGATAGTAGAAGTATTAGCAGTAATGGAGAATATTACAAAGCGAAGATATGGTTGGAGAAGTATAATCCAGTGAGATAACTTTAGAAAGAGAAAGATAGAGATTATGAAGAATTCAGGAGGTTAGAATTTGGGAGAACACAATGAATGAGTGCAACTGCTCCATCGCAAACGATTTTGAGCCATGTCGTTTAAGGTGTATAACCGTTGGTGACTTACGCCTCACGGACGCCAACCAGGTAGCCTACATCTATCAACGTGAGTCAGTGCACTTGTCAGTGACTTCATGGATTTCTGCGATGTTTTGGTTTGGCCGCTTTCTTCCAATCTACTCCTGCACCACAAAACATTGCTCGTCAAGGCAGTCGGTGGTCGGGCATTGGTATCACATGTCCCAACCACCTCAACTGATGAAGTTTCAATACTTCATCTATTGATTTGCTATCCCTAACTACCTGGCATTTAACTTATTTTTCGCAACCTATAGCGAAAACGATAGACAAGCAGTATACAGCCGGGGATAAACAGAGTGTGTCTCTCAAGGTTCAATGTAAGTTCATATTGAACGGGTTTATGGAGTACTGTACGCTAGCGATTTCCATGTCGTTTGAGTTTTGCAACCCTGTTGTTCCATCTCCTGCATAATGTGAAAAGTAAGATTTTCAAACGTTGTCCATGCTCCTCAGCCTATCGATGTTCACAACTCGTTGAAAGCTTACATTGATTCTCTTCTTTTTGTACTGACGATACAAACATTTGTCATAAATTATTGAAATAAACTCAATGTTGATTATTTTGCTGCTTACTTCTTTTTCCGCTTAAAAAGTGTCACTTCAATGAGTTATATAGCATACCTTTTGTCAACATTCTATTAGTTGATTTTAGAATCGGTGTTTAAATTGCAACACTATATGAATGTAAACTACCAAAGATTATAATATTTGCCATGACAAAGCTCACTAATCTAATCTCATATTTGTTATGTTTTTTCTACTGTAGAACAATGGCTTAGTGATAGTTAAAAGATTTCACTTTTATCTTTTGGGTTCTAGGTTCTAACTGACTGACTGACTAACTAACTGACTATAGGTTCTAACTCTGTTTTCTACCTAATTCAGTGTTTGAGCAATCGGATAGTATCACAAACTGTCATATTTAGAGTATAGCAGGGAACCGATTGCATTCTCAAATACTTTGTAAATGAGTTTAGTATTTTGCTTTTGTTTTAAGCTGTGGATCCTTTATCTTGTAATGTTATTTTGAAGTAGTAAACATTCGATTCGCCTGTAAAAGGAGGATTCTTTGTGTTCAGGATTAACTGTAGTCTTCATAAGTATCTGACTTGTGTTCAAATGTATCACTTCAGTTAACTGGATGTTGTCTTAAAAACTAAGAAATATTTTTAGACGTTCAGATAAAAGGTGCATCTGAAAGACAAGGTGTTTAACTGTGATTGATCATTGAGTTCTATCAACTGTATTTCAATATTGAAACATTGAATGAACTAAGATTCACGAGTACACAGTTCAATATTGCATTGACGCTTGAACAACAAACTTTTTTGTGTGTGTGATACATAAAACTGGCTGAACTGAGCAGATTTATTGGTATTAATGTTCGGGCATATTTACTAATTTAAGGGATTGTTTAAAATGTTATGTAGAGGGCGTATCGTGATTCCAAAATGTGAATTTTTTTTATCTTTTTCCGATTTATCTGGAATACTGCATAAAACATATGGTTTGTTTGTCGAGAAAATAGTGTCTGATCGCTTTGTTAACTTGTGTGTTTTACTGGTTTTCGGATAAAATGTGCAGTGTCCAGGATCTCATCAACCAGAAAACACACATCTTATGGTTTAAACACGTATACCGGTACTAACAACTTAAGTGGAAAATATGATTTAGCGGTGAAATCATGAGTTTTAATCACTAGTTAAAAAATTCAAGGTTTATCCTACCTACTTCAGAATAAGTAGTTTAGTGAAATCACTAGTTATCACATAGTATCACTGTCTGATTGTGTTTGTTGATTTGTTGAGTCAGCTAATTGTGAGACCTATATCCGTAGAAATGCATGAAATGCTGATTTGCAATTATATCACCGAAAGCTCTAAATGAGTTTTTCCCCAATCTGAGTTTTAGCGAACTTTCAACTCTTCCATATCTTTAGCGTGAAGCATCTTATTTCACAAAATAAGATGTTGTTTCTTGTCAACAATTTCATCAGTCTTGTAAAATTTGTCAATTACTAGCTGAAATCGATCCACAAATAGTTCCAAAAGTAAATATGATTCAGAACTGACTGTGCAAACAACCTTTCATGACTGGAATATCAGACATCAGAAAGTGGTTGTGACTTTTAGCTATGCATCGAAGGTCTCCATATGCTCATTTCCACTTGACCATATGGGCGTCTTCAACTAAAAAAACTATTAAATTTATAGTTTTGATGAAGGATTAACGTTCTGTACTGTCATAGTCCTTCATTATGTAAACTTGTGCCACATTGAATACTGATTACAGCAATCTTTTCTTTTAACTATTCTGCTGACGTAACCGAATTGCCATTTGTCTCAATTTTGGTTGATCGTTATAACTTATTCTTACCTTATTCCTACACCTGAATTGGATTGTTCTGCCTTACAAACACAATCTTTGGTGATATTGAAACATTGAATGGACTAAAATTCATGAGTACACAATTAAATTGTATAGAGAGATCTAATAAAAAGATGAATTTTTGCTAGTTATTTTAGTCTAAAACAATGCAGCGAACGTTTCTTCCTTACAGTTTAGAGAATAGTATTGTTTAGAAATTGTTCGTTTCTTAGCAAATGTCAATTTGTGGTCTTTGATGGTCAAATTCGCTTTCTATTCATTTAAACAAAGTTTAAAATGTTTTTGTGGACTATCTATCCACCTATAATTTGTCATTTATATGTTCAATAGTTCGTTGTGAAAATTACTTATGCGTATGAAATCTACAAAAGCTGATAAATCAGTTACGATGAAGTTCTAGTTCATTAATTAGAGATCTCTTAGCTGTAGAAGGTATTATTCGTAAAACTGATCTAATTCAGTATCACTCATTAACTCGTTGATTACATTAGATAATGCTAACACAAATTCACTACCTAATTCAACCTTGAACTTCGAATCAATGATATGTGATCAGAAGTTTTAAATTGATCAATGTTCATTGTTATAGAGTAACAAATCACATCAACATTCTTTAGAATTATTTATCAATGGTAGGAATAGTTGTTTAGCTGATTAAGATTGACATTTTATTATCAGGTGTTTATCTCACTAGCTTGATTATCCGGTGATGATTGCATTACATAACAGTAAGCTTGTTCATACTGATTAAGTTGAAGAGATTGCTCAGGTGATAAATATTTTTCCCCAAATAAAATCATATTTTCGATGAGTAAACGTTCCACTGTCTTGATTAATTGATATACCATCGAATGTTTGGTTGTTAAACGAATAATTCCTCAAAAATAATGGAGATTTCGGTGTAAGTAATTATTTCGGTTGATTAACCATTCCTATATAATGTATACAACAGGTTGTTATTATCAGACAGGATAAACATTGAAGTAAATAAGGAGCTTAAACAACCAATTTATAGTCTATTGATGTATATCATGTAATTGTCTAATCTGTTCGCCTAATTTTTAGTTGACTAGACTCTCGGCTATTGTTTAGCATAAGCTGTCGTTTAATCCGAAACACGACAGAAATCCATGAAGTCACTGACAACTGGACTGAGCCATGTTCATAAGTGTAGATTACGTGGTTGGCATCCACAAGACGATAGGGAATCGATGGTTAGAGATTTTGAACGACATGGCTTAAAATCGTTTGCAATGGCGCCGGTGCATTCATTCACTGTGTTCTGTCAAATTGTAATCTTCTGAATTGCTTATCACTTTTATCTTTCTCTTTCTGAATTATAATTGTTGAATAATATCTTCGAATGCTAATCTTCTCCATTACTACTAAAACTCCTACTATCTCTACGACAATGGGATTTGAACTGACAAATGCGTCTCTGTGCTAATTTGGTTTGGCAAGCTGAACTGATGTACGTATGTACGAAGATCTGAGTTGTAACTGACTGACCAACTCCTAGTCGAATCAGAGTTTATGGCAAACTGGCATCAGAATAAATTACCTCGAGTAACTGACTGACCATAAACTTATTATCATTTAGTTTACTGGTCTTAATTTGTTCATTTACAATCTTCCCTATTCATTCATATATAGAGTTGTAAGTTGATTTGCATTCATTGAACTCACTACTCTTTGTATTCACATTTTATATATTACCCTTTTTGATTTTCTATTTTTAGGGTCCTCGTATGAAATGTTTATGTCGAAGTAAAAATTGTCGTGGCTATTTGGTTACCTAGGAAGATTTTTCTATTTTCACTAACAGTTTATATGAATTATCTTCGATAAAAATGCTAAAATTATTGGTAGAGTTTTACAAACTACTCAGGCTTTGTGTAGTCCGGTTTTTTTCTTCTTGAGAATTAACCCTTTTTAGGAATATTTATGTTAAAGATTATATTTGATTCTGTTATTTTATACTTATTGTAAATTTTACTACTCTACTCTACTCTCTCTCTCTATATATATATGTGAAATTACTTTCAGATACATGTAAAGATAATTGATACAGTTTGCAGATTAAATGTATACCTAATGTCTTTTTATCTATGATCATTTTGCAGTTTCTTTCATGGGTATATCGATAAAGTGAAGGGCACTTATAAATATCTTCGTACATATCAGTTTATCGTCATTGACTTGTATCTTGAGACCAACATTTGGTTGGTAATTATAGTTAGGATATAAATATTCTCAGTATCGGATTTCCTTACTATCTGAATATTGATTTAGCGGAAGGTCCTGTGTACAGACGTAAAATGTTCTCACTTTGTATACATTCAGTTTGAACATAATACACATTTCGCATCAATAACTATCAAAATTAATCTTCAGTCATAGTTGCACATGTGTTACTACTTTGACCGAGTCGAGGTCCTACTTATCTCCGATTCGATGTTTAATCGATGGCTGAAAATCGGTTTCAATGGAGCAGATGCATCCATTGTTTGTGTTTTCTTAAGTCCTAATCTTCGAACTTCTTCATGACTTTCATCTTTCTCTTCTCAAATTTATCTAACTGAATTATACTTCTTGAATAATATCTTCGAACCGTAATCTCATCTATTACCGCTAATACTTCTACTACATCTATCACTATGGGATTTGGACTGAAAATTGAATCTCTGTGCTAATGCGATATGGCAACTTGAACTGACTTACCTAAGTAAGTACGAAGTTCTATGTTGTTGCTAATTAACTGACTAACCGTTTTAGTGTTTTTCGGTGAGATTTTCAGGTTTCGCTCACTGTTTAGTGATCGATGTTGTATTATCCGTTTCCCTGTTGTAATTTTATTACCTAGATTTACCAATCTTTCCTTCTGAATCTCGAGAGGAGGTAAGTTATTTAGGAAATCTAGACTGTAGAGATACCGGTAAGAAATTTACATACGTATTGAATGATATTCATGGAGCATAATATGTCACAATAGTACTCTTTTGATTTGCATAGTATATTGAAAATTGATAAACATTTGCAGCTACAATGAATTATTAGACTCGTAGTTAAAATAGCCGTTTCAGATAAATGTCCAATTTCAAAACAACATTTATTTTCATGTCAGACGAGATAAAGTTGTCATAGTTGATTGGTCAGTTTTCGACCAATCACAACGGAGTGTTTATTCTCACTTAGATTAATGGTTTTTGGATAATTTTCACATTTCATGTAACAGTTAGGCGAAGTTCTTTTTAATTTCTCTCTAGTGAACTTAATTTCCCTAACTTTATACTTCAGAAACAACTGGTAATCATTTTCTGTTTTCAAAATCAATTATAGTACAGTAAAGTACATAATGGGCGAGGGAGGTATATTAAATAGCATTACCGAGAGAATTTTCTGTTTTATTTGTAGTCATGAAAGTCATTGTGATTTCTTCGCCTTCGTGTTGTTGTTATGACCAATGAAAAGCGATAATTAAGAAATTTATATCCCATTTGACTTTAGGTATATCCTATCAACCTAAAGGTTTGGCAGGATGGTATATCTAAAGTTGGGTTACAGATGGGCATATTTCATATACTCCGTTAGTCTCATAGATAAAGAGAAAGGAATAAGAATTCGCGATTCCTTTATTCAGTCAGAAACTCGCTAAAATCAGTTACTGTTCAGTATCGTGGAATATGAATCGCATTACGTCATATTTGTTGAGCATCCTCACTATTACATTCAAGGTTAACTGCCGTTAAAACTTGGTATTCAATGAGAGACAAGAAAACACTGTTACACATGAGTTACTAATTGTTGACTGATTTTATATCATAAACAAAAATGTAATGAAACAGTAATAGCAACTGCCATGATAATACAAATTTGAAATTTTTAAGAGTGCAATAAGAATGTCTATAAAATCTGCTTGCTTACGCCCATTACTCCTAATTGAGCATAAACTACCGACCAGCATTCTCCAGCCTATTATGCCCTTAGCCTTCCTTTCCAGTTGTTCCAAGTCACTATCTATTCTTTCCATGTCTGCTTTCAATTCTCAGCTTAATGTGTTATTTGGTCTTTCACTTGGCCTTCAGGATTCTAGGTTAGGGCTTAACTTGTGATGCAGTAGATTGATTTCCACAACTACACTAGGAAATGAAATGCATTTTTGAATACTGCTTTATTATTTTACAGCTTGCTTAACTATCTCTAAAGGTAGCTTGTATTACGCGAATTTATGGAAAAGTTAAGTGTTTAACCTTCAAACAACTACTTGTTTATATTGATTGCCAGATAAATGCGCCAGATTTAAAATTGTGACATTTGTAATCGATCACAATTAAGCATCCCGTCTGACCTTGTGTTTGTATGTTTTCAGAAGTTTCAAATCTTAATTTTTGGGAATTTTCATTTAAAATGCATTATTGGATGAAGCCACCTTCGACTCGTCCGATTGGATGTTACTCCTGAATTATTAGATCAAAAGAAATTCATCAGCTATAAATATTCTTTGACAAATTCAAGCAATAAACCCTATTAACGTAGTAAACTAGTTGTCATTAGAGTACGAGGTTGTTTTAAAGCACTTGAAATTCCTTGTTCATCGAGAATAGGTATTACACAGAACTCTGGAATTGGAGTATCAGGTTCAATACTGAGCTTGATTTTTAGTCAGATTGTTGGTATTTTTGTTTAGAATCAGATGCCAAATTGAGACAAGCAACGATACCCACATATTACAATCTGTTAGCTTTATTTTTCAGCACCGTGTAGGATTTCATTTGAAAAAAGTTAATCAGACGTGATAACTGCTGGAGTATTGTGAAACGTTATATAACTTATGATCTTAAGGGTGGTGAATCTGTGTTCATTAATGAAGCAGAACAAAAGTCTTTTTAATTAGCTACTTTTGTGACATTCGATTCGATCCATCGACCGCAATGAACAAAGAATCTAGTAGGTTCACTGAAACCCTTACGTTACACCGTCAGATGAGAGGATAGTTGGTTGAGGAAATCGACGTGTGTTAACTTTACTAAGTTTGTCTTAATCAGAGATATCACATATTAGTGAAGTAAACTTCGAATGTGCACTGAAAGGAAACTTCCCAGATAAAGAAAGTGGTGCTTCGTTACAAATGTTGAATCTTCAAAAAGGGACAACCAAGTACGATGAACCAGTATGAGGGCCGTCGATGTGTTTCGCCAAGGTAACCACATGAACATACTGAAACACCAAACAACAGAAGTAATGTCGTGAATACAAACGAAAAATTAGTGTTGAGTCGTAAAATAAGCATGATACATATTGCGAAAAAAATGAAATTGTTTAATCTATATTCAAAAAGAAACAGTGGCATATTTACAAATGAGATAAACATAGGAAGGATCTCCGCCTGCGTATAACTATTCATTATCTGACACCGTGATCACAGTAGTTTGATATCAAGGATAATTCAAGGTCGTGGGTGGGTTCATGTCATGGTATAGGGTACATATTGTTGAAGAGCCCCATAATCAACTGAAATAGTTGTATATTAAATTGACTTTGACCTAGAATTATCGTCATTTCGTGAACTAAATAATAATAACATAATGAGTTTGTCGTATCCTGATAAGTGGGGAATTGAGTTTTCGATGTGTTGCAGCCCAATATACATTGTTTCTTCAGTGAATGAATAAATCAATAACTGCATTAAGTTCGACAAATGTAGGTAGAATGGAGAAGCTGAGTAGCATATCTGTATTAAATTAAAATAGGTTTGATCATGTCAGTAGAATGTCACTTTAATAAGGCGGCTTCTGCATGAAACATTACTGGGTGTATTGGTACGTTTGTAGCGGTGAACAAACCCTTAAAGTAAAAAAGTCTTGTAAGTCTTCCAAATTAATGATGACCTCACTAGCTTTCTTGGACAAGACCTAGCTAAAGGTGCTTTTTCATGAATCCTCACCAGATCACCATTGGCTGACAGGTGGTACTTATGCCGTCGCATCCACTAGCCAGCATAAATGACTCATTTCTAGACATTCTCAGTATACCTCTAATTTTCACCATTCTTGATTTCTTTTTTGTCTATTCTCTGAGATTCTCGATTATGAAGTTAGTACGATGAAATCGTCGTCAAGTTACGATTATTCATGACATTCTGATAATAGTGAGCTTGAGAGTTGTGATATTTATGATGCCACATAGTTAATTGTTTTTCATAATTGTGTGATGTGCCAGAAGCTAATTGAGTCAGTTCGCCACAAATGAACCTGTTTTTCGTTGTTTTAAGATCAGTAAAGTAAGTTGTAGTGTGTCAATTTTTAGCGTGTTTTTATTCTTCGTAATTAGCTCGTCCAGACGATCGTAACTAACTAGCGTCCGACGGTTTATAAATCAGAAGGTGAACTCGAAGTAATGAGCACGTTTATTTGGGGCACCACAAAGCGAAGCGTAGAAGCAGTGAATAAAACGAATGAAGCGGCTTGAATTGGAGTAGGCTGTTGAGCCAACTCGAAGAGATAGAGCATTACTAAAAATATACAGTCAAACAAAAATAAGACAGACATATGACAGGCGAAATGGTCATGCACACACATGAATAAAAGCGACAAATGATTGACAAGGTCAAAAGCAAGCGCGACAAGTCGTGTGAGTTCATAGGGATATTAAGAGATTAACATTAAGCGAGAAGGATGAGTAAGCGCAGGTGGTGTAAGCATTGCTCAGTCGTACAAGCTCATACAAACCAGACAATAAAAAATACCAATGGTACATATAGGTTGTTGCTATACAAATAGCGTGGTTACATAATTTAATCGAAAGGCGTGATCAAATTAAAAATGAGCGAACTCAAGTTTATATGGAGGCACTACAAAGTCACTGGTTTGGCCGAGAAACATAATTTACAGATCACATTTTTATTATTTTGCTCTACTTACGTTCAGGAGGTAGGTCACCAGTTCGGGCGTTGAAAATTTGACCGGTTTGACCAGCTCTCTGCAGGACTTCTTTTGAAGCGACACTTAGTGTGGGAATTGAGTCAGCGGACTATGCCTGGTTTAAACTGCCCTATAGTTAAGATATTCACCAAATATCCTACGAAAAATCAATTTATAAGTGTAAA